AGACGAAAAACGGCAGGAATTAAGTTTAACACCTAATAATATCATTATTGTGTTTTGATAGTAAAATATACCCTTCAAATGTAATAATAAATTTACAAATTTTAGTTTCAATTAAGAATGTATTAAACGTATAGTCTTTGCAAAGAAAATTAAATTTGGAAATTTGTTTAATATTTATACTTCAAATAAACTATGTACGTATGAACGTTGTTATGAATAAGAATTTTTGCACATATTAAAAAACTACTACTATTTATTAAAACAACTAATGATCCAGATAGTAAACCGTCACCAAATTTGTCGTATTATTTTTAAACATGATTTAGAATAATGTGTAATTTTTGTATAATTTTATTATCATTTTGGAAATAGGTATAAAACATCCTTAAATATCTCTTTTAATGAGTATTAAAATAATCATATGAGAAAATTAAAATACGAGTTTTTGTTATTTACAGTTTTTAAAACATCGAGCTTTTTTGTTTTATTTCACAGATGACGAAAATGAACTTCATAAAATATTAGTAACAGATACTGGCAATTTACATGTACTAACCCAAAAAATTTTTTCCGCAAATGTATTAAATGAAACTAAATCTATGAAAGAAAAAGGAAAATTGATTGAAAGCATGAAAAGATCAAATAAAAAGCAACTGGAAGGAAAAATTAAAAAAGATAAACATATAATTTGTAAAGCAAATTTATCTTTAAAATCAAAAACGAATGTAGCACCAATACATTCAAAAACAATAAATAATTGTTTATATGATCAACAGGTATTATTAAAAAATACTATAAAATATACTATAAAAATACTATAAAATATACTATACAATACAATAAATAATTTCCATATTTTCTCATAGAGCTCTAAGAATTTTTTCAGAATTTTTTAATACCGTATTTTCTCATATTGATAAAAATTTTACCAACATCTTACTTACCAATTTTCGGCAATTTTTAGTAATTAATATCTCGTTAACCATTGCGAAAATTGCAAAATAGTACAGGACTTTTCGACTCAGTTTAATTCACACTATCTATACAAAAGCGATTTGCCAAAACTTACGGGACACATATATATATATATATATATACATATATATATAAACATATATATAATATATGTATATCATTTTTAATAGATGTTTACTAAGGAAAATAGTATTATGAACTCACAAACAGAATCAAGCATGTTTTTAAATTGTCAACCATCTACTTCAAATACAAATAATTTTACGAAATTTTCATCTGGAGCAATAAACAAGCCAGCGTGTCATATTTCATACATTGAGAGTGCATCTATCAATCCGGAAAAGAATATCACAACATTTTGTAATACAACAAATTTTGTACCACAATACTCATTTCCAAATCAATTACTTCAAATAGCTGTAACGATATAAAATCAACGTCAACACTTAGCTCATCTATATCAATGAATAATGATTCTTATACTCAAAAAAAATTTAGCAATTTACATGAAAATACAGCAACTTTATCTTCTGTGAATCCTGCATCATTAAATATACTTCCATGTCGTCAGTTCAATTCAAATACGAATACTGCCATAAATGTAATACAATCAGCACCATCAACAGTATATAAGTCACATACATTAGTAGTGACACTTCACATGCATCCATTTGCACTAAAGGATCCACATCATCTTCATTTAAAAATTCTGAACACGTTGTCAAATCAGCAACAATGCACCAACATGTTAAACTTATCAGGCCTTTTTTCGTGGACAAGTAGGGTAAGGTTGTCGATATCGCACCGGCTCCTAGATCGCACTACCTCGCCTAAAAAATCAGTTATTTTATTCACACACTTTCTTACGGATTATTTACAAACTACAAGGTATTTCAACGCTGCTGCGTTACATTTGTGACATGAAATGCAGTAGGAGCCTCGTTATTTATGTAAATAAAAAAATCGTGATAGCGTTGCTGTTTTTCAACATATTTCATAGCAGAAATATAAAAAATGTAAGTTAAATAATCTACTTTTCTACAATTTGTCGTGTTTGGAACACTATTAGAATTAGATTAATGAATTAAAATTTTTTTAACAATCTTGTTTGTAAATTAAATAAATAAAATTTTACAAAATGCTACTGTTTCCTAAATCGCATCACAATGTAGTGGCCTAAATCGCACCACAATGTAGTGGCCTAAATCGCACCGCGCATATGGCAACACGGGACGTACACATAACCACAATGCATGACTTATGTTAAAATGAAAGCTACCGTGCAATGTTTTGTACAAAAAAAGGGCACATTAACCACATTGTATTTCAAAAGAATTTGAGTTTAATTTTTCAATACATAAAGTTTAGATTTTAAGTTTTTTATTTATTTTCTCTATCCCCCCTCCATTTCCATCATTAATCATATTTCTTATATTTTTTACATTTTATTTCTTTTTTTATTATGTAAAAATATATATTATAAATGTATATTGTAATAGAAGTGCGATTTCAACAACCTATGGTGCGATTTAGGCGACGTATTTCCAAAATCGCACTATTTACAAATATGTAAAAAATCTTCATTTAAAATATTATAATCATAGAAAAAAAATCTGAAAAAATTACATATGAAAGGGAAAAGCTTGCAGTTTATTACGCCGCAAAAAAATTAAGAATATCCTTCTTACTTTCGGAGTTATAAGCCTTTATATGAAAAGTGGTGCGATTTCGGCAACCTTACCCTATATTTTATTTATATTGCATATATATTTTACACATAACCTATTTTTT